ATGCATTGATTATGTTCTATATCTCATTAAACTTCAGGACAGTGATGAAAAGTCTGTGACGCTCGAATAATTTTACTTTACACAGATGACAAGGAATGGGGAAAAGGGAGGAAAGATAATTGCAGAATCAGAAAATCTACATGTTCCCACTATTCTGCCCACTATTAACTCCCTGTTGTATGGCAACTCTTAGCAGAAAAGGAATCTTCAGTCAAGTTTTGAATCAGAATATGTTCTTGTACTTCAAGACATTTGGGTTGTTCTTCAAAGAGAAAGAGAGCTGTGTCTGGATTAAGATTTATTTATTTGTCATATGTCACATTCACATCACATTTTAATAAAAATATAGGAGACAGACATTCAAAGTACGAAATCTAAAATATTATAAACGTATGTCTAGATTACAGGTATAGTTTTTGCTTCATTTATCACAGCCAGGAAATCAGCAGTCTCTGCTATATTACTCTATTTTGGCAATCTGACACTATATGTTGAATGGTTTGTTTTTCTGCCCCACAGTCACAATTCCACGATGGTATTTTACGGCACTTAAAGAGAGCATCTACGCATCTACCATGGCCAGTGCAAATCCATCTTTCAATAGATTGAGAGGTATAAATAAGGATAACGATAGGACTCTGAAATATTTACTTATTGAATCTTTGTCATTTTCTTCCATGGTTATTTTCTAGATTGAATTATTTTCAAAATCAAAACCAAAGGCTCAGCTTCCCAAATATCCATGTTTTCCCATTCCAGAAGGCCACAGTACAGTCTTAACATAATATGAGTCTTAATTTTCCTCACCCAGACTTTAGTTGTTTTCCTGTAAGAACTAAAGAAGAAACTCTTTAATAAATTTACTCAGCAGAATTATATAATAAAATATTTCTTGGATTATGCCATATTGGTTGAAGGAAATAATCACATTTTGGAATCCTCCAAAATGTAAGGCTGTGCAGCATTTCTGATTTAATTCCCAGAGATCCTTCAACTTAATATGTGTCTGCAACTCTTCAAAGCAGTGGTGTCTTCTTGTGTGACTGCATAGCTAATATTTACTTTGAGTTCCACAGTTATGCAATGAATTTCTGATAACATGAAAGAGTTCCTCTGATCATCTGCAGTGTACCTTTTTACCTTATAATTAACTCATTGTCATAGTTTTGGGAGTCCAGATCAGTCAAGTCTTCTAGCTTCTTCTCCTAGTTGACCATTGTTATCCTGCCCAGAATTAGGAATGGAAACCAATCCTCAATTGTACAGTTATCTGCCTTATTGCTTTTCTGTGGCACAGCTGTGTGCCTCTAGTCTCCCTTGCAGTTGGCTCTGGGCCACGCCTCTGTGTGTTAACAGAGGGAGGGATTAGTCCAGAGAAACCTTGTGTTTTGCACTGTCAGGGTGGGGATGTTATGGGCTGTGAGTTGGTGGAAATCCTCAGGGTGCATTCCCCAGCTGTGTGCCTCTTCCTGAGTAGAGGCCCCATTCAATGCATCCCCTTTCATGTCTAATCTCCTGGCATGTGCCAGCTCTTTTGTTTGCTGGGCTCACATCCTGGCTCCTTTCCCTGCGAATTGTGTATGTGTGTGTATGCGCACATGTACGTATGTACGTGTAGGAGATTGCTTGTTTTTTTGGCTAAAAAGGAGGTAATCAAAGCCATCCTTGGGGGACTGGCCTGGAGGCCTTTCCCATCTGAAGGCCTGTTCTCCCTGAGTGGGGCCAAGCTTTTTAATATCCTGTCTGACTGGTTTACTCCGGACTATAACTTGAAGAAAAACATCGGCAGACATCCTACAGGAAAGGAGCTGTGGATGTGCAGCCAAATGCCTTAACCTTTTCATGTCTGGGGGAACAGCAAACACTTCACATATGTGCGGGCTATGCTTTTTTTGTTATTGTTGCCCAGTGCACATGCAAGTCTGGAGCAGCCATTATGGTTTGCCAGGATTCATGTGACTTCTTCCCTTGCAGCTTTTCAGTGCAGCCTCCAAGTTACTCAATCTTTTTGCCATCTCCAACCTTAAAATCACCTTTCCCCAGATTGCGAAGGAAAGCAAATCTTATCTCCCTGTCTTATTTGTGCCTGGATTCAGAGCTATTTCTTCAACCAGGAGTCATGGGAATCAAATCTTTTGAAGTAGGCTATGCCAGAGTGGAAGGTATATCAATGAACCTATTTATGTATGTGAGTGTCAGGAGGATTAATGAATTTCATGGGGCTAGAGGACAGCCTGCTGGAAGTTTAGAGGTTGGTTTCCATATGAGATGTCATTGGATAGAATTTTCCTTAGAAGTGTCCATGTGGTATTGATATGTGGTGCAAATAGGTTCTAGATAAGATATATAACCACATACAATAACATTACACTCTTATCTTTTGTGCCATCTTAAGTATTGCGTTAGGGTTCTGCTAAACAACACAAAGACATGAAAATTAATGAAAATGATAAATTATTAATTTTAAACCAAATGTGTTGTTACACAGTAATAGAGTGATGCTACTTTTTAATCTTTTTTATGACAAAATGCTTAAATAAAATAACTGAGGCTATGCCAACATTCAATTTGGCATAGAAACCTAATGGAAGAGTGTAGTCCACCCTCTTAGATAGAAGAAAAGACTAAAAATTACCTTGGTAATTTTTAAGGGTAAACATTCAGAGAAAAAGGCCTTCACCCATTATACCATGGAAGGCCTGCCAATGATCTCTGCATGATAGCAGCATTGTAGGGAAATCAGCCATCCTTCAGATGGACTGGCCCCAACTTGTTATGGTTTTAAAAATGAAAAAGGTTTTGTTTTTTTCGAATTGGAAACAAACTGCAAAGCAGTCCAAATTCAAAAATGTAGAGCAATATATTCCATGTAACAGATCTCCAATACCACCCAGGCAGCAGCATTTTGCATCGGTTGTCTTTTCCAAATGTAATTCAAAAGCAGCCCTCACTGTACTGATCCAGCGTGAACATGGCCAAGATTTATATGCCAAATTAGGCTGGCTTCTGACAAATTCAGGCTATCCTCACTACAACCTTGAAGATTGGTTAAGCAGAGAGACTGAATGATGACATCTAGTGAGCCTCCTGACCAATAGGAATCTAAATCCAGATCTCAGGCTAATATCTTGAACAGAAAGCAACACTAGCTTACCAGCCGAAGCAGAACAAAAATATTATGGCTCCTGTTTGATACTTGACAGGCATAGACCAAGATTGAGTTCCGGAGAATCATCAAGTTGAAAAACGTATATAAAGAGGACTTGCAACCCCAAAACAGGAGTACCTAGTTTCAGTTTCCTTGCTGAGAAATGCCACAGTTTTATCTGGCTTGCCCCAATCACCCTTTCCTCCACTTCTTTAAGTGCTTCTTTTATTTTTCCTGCTGATGAGTTCTGTATCACTTGGAAGCTTGCATGCTTTTATGCTGATGGAATTTTAATGGATGGAATTCTTTCCTTGTCTACTTTCGAAGACTAGCCTTTCAGAATCCTGGCGTTCCATTCCCCATGTTACGCAATAAGACAACATTTTATTTTACAAGCTGAGATAGTTGCCAGCTGTTAATTCTTAAGCTATTTATCCATTTTTCTCTAGAAATTATTAATTAGAGGCATCAAAAAACTGTTTAAGCCTGCTTGCCATTAATTATTTCTATGTATAACTAATATTATTTTTTTTGTTATGGCATAACTTGAATTTCTTTTTTGTCCCTTTCTTGTCCTTTGATGGATAGATGATTCCCTATTTTATACTGTATATTACTTAGTGAAAAGTAAAATGAACAAGAAGATGGAATTAGTTATTGTTTTGCTGAAAGGAAAAAGCACTCTGTGTGTGCTCTGGGACACTTTTTTAAATTATGGTTTTATCACTCCTCACTTAAATCCAACCCTTTTTGCTTTCAACTCCAGGAAGCCTAATTATTGCTGTGCTGCTTGCCTTCCTTCCCTTCTTCTTTCCTCCACCACCTTAAGCTGCAACACCAAGATTTAATGCACCTGGGACTGGTTATGGCTGGCTTAACTCCAGATTTCATTTCACTGGCCTGAAAATGTCAGATTGCATCTTGAAGAGATGCCATCCCTCCCTTGCAGAAAGCATGCTGGAGGCGGCTTTCAAAACTTTCAGGCCTTCAGGTTTATAGAATTGGGGCTTTTCTTACTCATTGGGCTACTGCATTCCTTTTCCATTTTCCTTGTGAAGTATCTGCTATGTTAAAAGCTTTTGGGTTGCAAAATCTGTCTAACCAAAATATAAGTTACGGGAAAGCATTCCCCAGCAGGACATGGTGAAACGGTTCACTCTTAAATGATGTTGTTAAAACCACAAAGTGGTGGTCCCAAGAAGCTAACTGGTGTTTATATTGAGACTGTCTTTGATCAGTCAACCTTTCCAGGCTTTGCAGAACATTTCCCTTTCTCCATTTCTATATTCCTTTCTGAAACTCCATAGTCCGAGCAAGGGGTCCACTTGAATTACAAAGACAGCAATCAATTTGTTATCGTAGATAATTTTATATATGTATCATCCTCTTGTCATTCATGCCAATATTCTTCAACAGAAATGTTGCAGTTTTTAAAAATAAAAAATAAAACGATGACGTGGTAAGGTAGAGTACCGCAAGCATTTCTGGTATGCAAGCCTTTTAAGAGCATAAGTTCTTGCTGAGTCCTTCCTCATTTATGTCCATTTCGCAAAAGATTAGAAATACATTCCACATTAGGAGTATTAACATCTGTGTACGTGTGAATGAGAAACCAAGATAGAACTCTGTGAACCAATCTTTCATCTTTTTTTTCTCCTAGAACATATTAAACCAAATCCTTTTAACAGCATCATTTCATATCAAGCACTGGAAAATCAAGCAATGCCATGCACATTTGGCTCAAAAGTAGTGTAACTAAAGGGAATTGATTAAGTAACTCACATATAGGTTCCAGATAGGTTTGAAACTTCACCAGTACTTTCATGTGTTTTTTCTCTCTCTTTTTCTGTAGCCATTGAAACACAAAGTACCAGCTCAGAAGAGATTGTACCCAGTCCTCCTTCACCACCCCCACTGCCCCGAATCTACAAACCCTGCTTTGTGTGTCAGGATAAGTCATCCGGCTACCACTATGGTGTTAGCGCCTGTGAAGGATGCAAGGTGAGAGTCAAAATAGATGGAGGCATATCTACAGCAGGAAAGCTAAAGAGAATAAGGGTCACTTAAATATACAGGTTCCAAAGAAGAATTGTGCAATGTAGAATCCTAATGTAAGCACTGAGATTTAGAGGAAGTCACAAATGTTAGAATAGTTTCTAGATCAGCTATGACCCAGAAGGACCATTTTCTCTTGTCTTTCCCAACTATTCCAGGGGGCTTCAATAATGTTTGATGAAATGTCCAAACATCATCTGGCAACTGTCATCATGGGCTTTACCCATGTCATGTGACTTTAATAATATGGAGGAGCAGAACTGTGTTTCTTACAGAGCTGGGAAGATTTGAGAGTAATGCCAAGCTCCCAATCCCTCTACTTCTCTAGGAAATGCTGAGTTATGTGCTTTGTTGGCTCTAAGGATACAACTCCCGTTATGTATAACCATTTGCTTGGGTGGTTGGGGCTGATTGGAATTGTAATAGAGGCTACCAGTTATTTACTTCTTCTTTGTTCCATTCAATGATACATTATCTACTATTTTTAAATGTACTCCTCAGTCCGGTATGTAAAAAAGACGAACTGCTGTGACATTACCTGTTCAGGCATATGCTCCCACTTGCACTAGGCCATCACCATGACTTTGTGAGTTAAGCTGTCAGAGATCAGACTGGGGCGGAAGACATGGCCCAATCAGCTGATCTTTCCCTCCAGCTCATTAACAGAGAACTCTATATGCCTCTGACACAAAAGAAAGGGTTTTCTTCCTCTCCACCCCAAGTCCCTTAATCTCATTAAGGGATTCATTCCCCTGGGTTCCTGAGCAGCAGTCTGGCTGCTTCTGTGTTTACCATCTCCTCCTCCTTCCCTTTCCATATCAATTGACTTCTGCTTTAAGTGCACCAGTCAGGTGCACCAAGAGCCCCCTTTTCGTTAAAAATGAAAGCTATTTCTCTACTACTTTTTGGTTTCAAAATCAGATTAAAATTGTAAACTTACTTTTAGAAATTGGTTTTAAATTATTTGTACATGTGTGGGCTTTTGGTTTCAAAGGGAAAGCATTATTAAATTAAATTAATTTAAATGAAATTATTACATAATTTTAAATAATAATGAAATATTTTTTCCTCTTTCCTTCTCTATTAGTTTTTTCTTGCTAAAAACTTTAATTTTTTGCATTGTTCTGACTATGAAATCTGTGTTTCCCAAGTTAGATGGGTTGTTTTTGCAGGTAACATACACTCCAAATATATGAAGCCCAATTTTCATACAGTTAGAGAGCCAATTTGGTCTAGTGCGGGTATTGGCAACCCATGGCTCTGGAGCTGCATGTGGCTCTTTGGGCCCTCTGCTGTGGCTCCCTGTCGGGTGGTTCCACCACTGACTAGGGCCGCCCCTTGCTCTCCCCTCCCAATCACTCCTCACCTGGCCTGAAAAGATAAGGCAATGGGGGATAGAGAAGCGAGCAGGGCTGATTCTCCGTCACCTCATCTCTTGCTAGTGCTTCTTCCAGCCCTTGTTGGTTCTGAACTTGCCTCAGTTGCTTGGGGAACGCACAACCTGCTCTGAGACATGGCCCAACATAGACACAATTGATACTGGCCTTGCTAACATGAGGACTGGTGGGTTGGGAATGGGATCCAGGAAGAGAGGATGACGGAAAGGACGATGGGCCCCCAGCACCCATCCGTAACTTTAAAACTTGCTCGGGGGACTTTCACCCCGGGGAGCCTTTTCAATGAAAGTCAGTGGCGGTACCACTCCACTGGATGAGTAAAGAAGCTTAGGGCAGTGGGAAAAGGGGACTGGCCCCGCTGAACCTCACACATCCACCTGGGGGTAAGCTTGGAGAAAGCCAGAGCACTCTCATCAAAGACGCTCACTTGTCAGCTGGTCAACCCGCCCACCCTGCACACTTTTGCTGTGCTGGCCGCTCACATGAGGAGGGTCTCCCTGCTTGTGCGCACCTTCCTGGTCCCACCACAGCCGGCCGTGGGGTCACAAGATGAAAAGGAAGGAGGGAGGAGGAAGAGGGTCGCCCGAAGGGAAGCCGTGGCTCACTCTTGTTCCTCAGCCACCCCGGATTTCCAAAAAGTTGCCAAGAAGAAAGAAAAGGAGTAGTGAAGAGCCCCAAGGAGAGTTGACTGGGTTGGCCCAGCCTTAGCTTTCTGAGAGAGAGAGAAGAGACATAGATACAGAGACAAATACAGAGAGAGACACAGAGAGAGATAAGAGAGGAGGGAAAGAGGGGAAGATAGAAAGCGAGAGGGGGAGATAAAGAGACATAGAGGTATATAGAGAGTGGGAAGAGGGGGGAAGATAGTAGAAAAGAGAGGGAAATACAGAGGGAGGGAGGGAGGGAGGGAGAGACAGAGAGAGAGAGTCCAGCTGAGTAGGCATGACTGGGGGATCATGTGATTAGGTGGAAGTGAGTGACGTCAAGTTGTCCATGTACCCAGGTTTTTTGGCTCCTGGTGTTTTCTGTGGGAAACGGGTCTAAATGGCTCTTTGAGAGTGTTTAAGGTTGCAGACCCGCGGTCTTGTGGCTAAGGCATCATGTTATAACTAGATCATGAGTTGTAGTCCCACTTTAGACACACTGGGTGAACCACTGCTGATATGATGGATCAGAGGTGGTAATCTGCTGGTTTGCCCTGGTTTGGGTGGACCAATAGCGGTGGTGGCGAGAGGCTCTGCCCACACACCCACCTAGATGTCATCACAGACACTCTGCGTATGCGCAGAAGGTTTGTGCATGAGCGAAACGAGCTCACACATGCGCACACTCCCGGTTCCAAACCGGTAGCGAAGGTACGATGATTTCAGGCCTGATATGGATATATGTATGTGTGTTTGTATTGAGAGTGGGGGAGGGGAGGAAGAGTCAGAGGGGGGTGGATGCGTTTTAATGGACTGGAAGGGCAATGGAGTATCTATTAGAGCTATATACTGTGTCTGTAAGTGGCAAATGACCTTTTATGCATATATATCCTGTATTTAAAATGTGCTTAAAAATCATGAAGATTTACCAGGCTTATTCAATTGGGGTGAAGTTGTTACTGACTAAACTGCTGTTTTTCTCCACTGAATTGAGGATTGAGGATTAACAGCATTCCTTTTTAAATTCCACAATTTTTTGGAAGACAGAACAGAAGACTAAATTGATTCTCAGCACACCATATGTAAGAAGATTTTAGTCTGTAAGAAGCTAGTCTGTGTGTGAGAGAGCAAATCTTATATAATATGCACACTCAGCCATTAGTATCTTTCTAAATCATCTCTCTATAAATTTAATTCCAGTTAATTCTGTAACAGATCTAATGGGTCAGGAGCTATGACTATTATTGAGGTAGAGGAGAATTAGGCATGTCTGCTACTGATTTTTAGTATTTATTTTCATCTGCAATATGAGATAAAAAGTATTGACCTATTTTATAAGGCTATTATAAGGATTATTGAGAAAAATATATTCCCTGTACTATTTGGACAATGAAAAAGCTATATGCACAGCATGTAATCTGAGGTCATATAACTGCCATCTTTTTGAATCTGAGCAGGTTTGGATGACAGATAATACAAGGACCTCATATTATTTGCATTGTGTTTTTATTGATGGTTGGTTTTTTCACGAATGAAAGCAAATATCCAGAGGTTTTGTTTTGTTTTTATCCTGGCTGCTTATTGACTGTTTATTTTGTATTTTTATTGCTGATTTTTTGTTATATTTTTTTTTTACTCCTGCTAGCCATTTAGGGTCAGTTTGAGATGGGAGACCACAAAAATTGAATGAATGAATTGACAAATATTCTTCTGTCCTGAACACATTGACGAACATGATAGATAATTCAATGTGCTTCATGCCATTATTGATGCTGAGCCCATTTTAATATGATCTCAAAATGTTATACCCAGTTTTTGAAATGGTTGAATTGTATAATTTTAATATCATTAGCTAAATGTGCCCAGAAATGCTAGTAACAAGTGACATGATAATTGTCTAAAGCCTAGCACACAAGTTATGGTTAATTATGAATTTGAGACATTGTGAATGTTTTTTAATGCTATACCTGCTCTCAAGGAGCAAGCGTACTACAGCAAAGTGAAGAAGCCAAGCCATATGTTTTCACACTGTAGAAGAGAGTTGACTTGCTCATGCCATTTTTTTTTTCTTCTCTAAACCCTACAGGGCTTTTTCCGTCGTAGTATCCAGAAGAACATGGTATATACTTGTCACCGGGACAAGAACTGTATCATCAACAAAGTGACCCGGAACCGCTGTCAGTACTGCCGCCTACAGAAGTGCTTTGAAGTTGGCATGTCCAAAGAATGTGAGTGAATGGTGAAGAAAAGAAAAACGGGGTGGCCAAACTGTTGACCATTAATTAATATTTTGTTATAATAGCAAATTTCAAATGTCCATCCATATGAAGACCCAGACTTAAATCTCAGTTATCCATTGAAAATTAGAAGCCAGTTTGCTAAGGCATTTTCAAATTATAATTCAAATCAAAATGCTATATCAAATCCCCAGCTATATGGAATTCTGAAGGCGACAATTTCATTGGTCCTAGAAGGAACGAAGAAAACAAAATGACAGAAAGAGAGAAGTTGAAGTGGGTTAGAAAACAAAGATGAGACAATGGCTGATTCTGTAGTATAGAGAGAACAAAAATTAAGGTGAGAGAGGCAGGTCATCTAACTATACGAAAAGCAGATTTCTTATCATTTATTATGGAAATAATGATTATTCAATTTGCACTCTTACAACAAAAATTAATCCCATCTGATATTATCTGGAGGAACTAGACTTAACTCCCATAATTCCCAACTAGCAATTCCCACATTAAGAGAATCGTCCCAATAAAACCAGAGGAAAAAGGCTGATTTGTTGGTTCTAATTTTTTTAACAAAATGGTATGTTAGGTGGGAGAAATGGATGACTCTTTTCTCCTGTGACTGATTCTTAACTCAGCTACTCTTCAGAAAGTTGGCATTAGCATATTTTGTCAAATAGCATTCTCTTTCCATCTAAAAGAAAAAGAAACCTGGGAATTTTTCTAGTTTTCTCCCAAAGGCCTGGTGCAGGGGGCTTACCCCTCTGCTTTGTTCTAATTTTGAGGGTGTTTCCCCGGCAACCATGATTGATGATGTCAGAGATAAATGACGCAGACAGGACCCTCCTGGCGTCTGCAGTGCTTAGTTGTCATGGCTCCCGACTGTAATGGGCGGGGGACAGAACCCCAGTTTGCAAGGGTTGGACTGATAAATCCATGGTATGAAAAGAAATGTCTCAAATGTGTAGAGAATCAATGGTTAATTTGGGGCATCCCAAATTCTATTGTTTCTTTTTCCCTGTTCATTCAAAAGTGAGGAGAAGAGGATGATGGAAAAAGGGGCAGACCGTATTCTTTGTGACTTTATGTTCTCTTTGGCTTGCTAACAATATGGAATCCAGGAATTTGACTGTGTATTTCCAAGAACTAGGTCTGTCTGCCACAAAGGGTAGAAAAAGGGGATGAAAAGTTTGGTTTGGTTTGGTTCCCCAGATTTTAACAAATAGTGCACGCTACCTGCTGATGAAGCATATGGCAATAGCAAGACTAAGGATTCCATTATAACCAGGGACTTTCTGAGGTTTCAGGGAGAAAATGGAAACATCCATCTTGTATAGAGAGTTCTATCTTTTTGCTGGGCATTGTGGGGAGAAGGGAGAAATTTTTGGTAGGCAAAAAAAAATAAAAAATACAGTGCGGTAGAGAGGGGCCAGGAATTGCAAATGTAGACCATTTTAACTGCTTTCAAGATGTGTGCGCATGCAGACACATACACATATCCCACAATGTGCTTTGAATCCACCCCCCCCCCTTACTCATTTATTTTGGTGTTCTTCACTTTTCCTTATCCCAGCTGCTTTTTCTTACCCCACAACCTCTATGTGATGATGGATGCACCATCCCCCCCCCCTCTAACTGGCTGTCTGGTCTGTGCTTTATTGAATTTGCCAGGCAGACATGACTGATTTCCGAATTATCCCCCGCCCCCACCTCCATCAGGCAGGACGGTGATATGTACCAGCCTACCCCAAGAAAAAGACACATCTGGCATTCCCTCACCACTTGTATTAATTTAAAGGAAGATTCTCTTTCCTAGAAAATAAAAGTCAAGAAATCTTGCAGTTTGAAAAGGATTGCTTTGCTTCCTCCACCAGGATGTTCTCATATGGATTCTTTATAAAAATACACCACACAGAAAACAATGACAACAAACAAGGCTTTGTAATGCTTCCATAAATCCAGCATGCAAAAAAGCAGTGCCTCAAATCTGATACACCTGCTTATTGCTTTTGGCAGCCAACATTATTTAGTTTTATTTTCTGTGGATTAATTCCCATTATTTTAGGAGCTGCTGTCCGAATTTCTTTTGTCTTTAGAACTTGAAGCTTCACTTATTTTAAAGTTTCTAGTAAGTTATTTGTTTTAAGTTATAAGTCTGGAATAACATACCTAATTAATAATTAGTCAAGCAAAGTAAAATCCTATTAATTTAGGTTAGCTCGTTCTTAAACAACTCACACTGAAAATGATCTAAGAATGTTCTTGTTAGGTTAGTGAACAGGTAGTAGGTAAGTTAGTAGAGTGTGTAAAATGGCAGGAATAGAAATAGGTCTTAGAAAGCATTAATAGAGAGGAAAAAAAAGATGAAATATGAAAATTTCTGAGTAGACCATAACAGACAAGGCAGAGATCATGAGAGCAGGCCAGGTTAGGTTGGAGGGTTGTTCATCCATTTTTCTCCTAATTAAAATAATGCTTTAGACAAAACTGTATTTTGATAATTGACCAAAAAAAGAATGTTCAATACAATGAATAACACAACTTCCCCCAGAACAAGAAATGTTAGCAGCTATTTGTAGGTGAAGTTTACGCATAATATAGCAATATTTCCCTTTTTTTGAGAGAGATAAACTTATTGCGATTGTTTAACAGATAAAAGTTATCAAGGTTCCCCATAAATTTAAATAAAAGGGGTAATCAATTAGTGGTGAATGTCCCTGTAGAACTGACAATACAGAAGAAAGGAACTGTAGTTTCTATGGTACCCATATCACAGGGGCAGTATTGGGTTCCATATGGGATTTTCTAGATTTCCCTTCTAGGACAGCTGTGGGGAGAGCATTCAATCAAACGAAAGGTTGATTTGTATAAATTGATAGAAATACTTCCTCAGTCCTTTAGTTACTGTGTGCTTTGATTGCTGTAAGGCCTTAGAAGAAGGATTGACAGCTGCTGCTTTTAATCTTGAGTACTGAGTTGTGCCTCCTGGTATGCACAATAGATACAAACTCATATTCTTGCCAATTGTATTGGATATTGAACTGCTTCTAGGCTGAATTCTGGAGCCTTGTATACTTTGGAAAGACCACCTTCCATTTATTTCTTCTGGATCCCTTTGATCTTCTCTGGAAAATGGAACTATTAATTGTGATGAGAAGCATAAGGTATCAGGTAGTGCTCACATTCTGGAATACCTTTATCTACTGAAGGCCGATTTGGCATTTCAATGGCTTCTTAAAATTTCACCTTTCATTAGAATCCTTTTAATGATGTTTGCTGACTTTTATATTAATAGTTTGAAAGCACATTTAGATTGTTATTAAATTTATATATTTTAGTTCTTGTTTTATATTCTTATGATAAATGTGACAATTGTTCAAGCGTTGCTTTGACAATTTGGAATTGAATAGGGAATCAGAATAATTAAAAAATGTTGTAGGAATAAGGAATCTCTCAGAACTAGATAAGATTATATTTATCTGTGAGATTTCTTTTTTATTGCCTTGGCTTTAGATAGAGCATATTTATGCACATGTGCACATAGATATCATAAAACCATGTTTTTGTTTTCTCCATTTCTGCTAGGGCATTAAAAATTGTAACAAAAGACACAAGTTATTGACTTACAAATATGATACTTTGGTGGATTGGATGGATTATTTGTTTATATTCTTAGTTTGGAATAATATGCAACAAATATTTTTACTGATGTTGCACTATTGTAACTTGTGTTTAATCTTATTACTTGGAGCACATCATGGCAGTGTGTATTGGTTTGGAGCAGATATGGTATTCAGCAGGTTCTGACCAGTTCTGGAGAACCAATAGCGGAAATTTTGAGTAGTTGGGAGAAATGGCAAATATCATCTCTGACTGGCCCCTCCCCCTTGTATTCTCTGCCTCCCAAATCCCAGCTGATCAGGAGGGAATGTGGATCTTGCAGTATCCTTCCTCTGCCATGCCCACCAAGCCATGCCATGCCCACAGAACCAGTAGTAAAAAAAAATGAACCCCTCCATTGGTTTGGAGCTAAGAAGTGTTATTAGTAGTTAGAAGGCATTTAGGTAATCTCTACAAGATGTGAAGAAAGCAGTCTTTTACTGTTTCTTCATGGCTGCAGCCCTTTTAAAACTGATCCTTAAGTTCTTGGGAACAAAGAGTCCAGTGATGGATTTCTAGTGGTTCAGATTGGTTCAGCCTAACCGGTAGTGGTTTGGCGGCCTGGGTTGCTGGAACCGGCAGCAACCCAGGCCTGCCATGCCCATGTCTCTGGGCACCGCCATAGGCGCTGTCATCTTTTTAAATTTTTATTGCACTGTACATGCACGCACAGAGTGCATCAAGCACGTGCGCGCAACGCACCCACGAGTGAACTGGCAGTAGTGACTGCCGGAACCCACCCCTGCAGCAGTCCTGGGGAACATCAGCTGCATGATAGAGAAATCTGCTTTAGTTTTGTATTTACAAGTCTGATATAGTTGCTTCCAGAGAAGATGGTGATTAAAAACAAAATCCATTACTTTTTCTTTCTGGCTGAAATTTCTTCCGTTGTATAAATATATTCCATCCTGGGATAAATTTTTTGTTATGGGTTTTTTGTTTTATCCTTCCTTTATTAAACTTGCTTCTACACAATATGGAAAATTATTTCAAATTTTCTAGTTAACTAGTATTCAGATTCTAGGAATGCACAATTGCCCTGGGACTTTTCCTTCTTTCAACATCTCCTTTTAAATGCATATTTTAAATCTCCATTTCAGCACCTTCTTGCAAATGCCACATAGCTTCTTTTGTCCTCTGACCCCTGCTGCTTTCTATCAAGCATTCCCATTTAGTTCTTCTTCTTCCTAACTCAGCAACTTTGTTGTTCTTCCCTCTCTTTGCCTTCTCTCTGTTATCTTTCAGGAATACTGTCCCCCTCCCCCTTTTTCAGTCAATGTTTAAATATTCCCAACTATCTGGATATAGTATCTTGAATTCTGTTGAATCTTATCTACTACCAATTTGCTTTGACCATTAGTAGGTCAGATTCTTGTAGAGAGCTTAAGCATACATTAAACTATATATTCGCTTGAACTGCCTGATTTTCCTGATTTTCTATGCTTGACACCTGACTTGGTGTTGAATAGATTACAACCTCCATAATTTCCAACCAATATCCAACCATTTGTAGAAGATATAAGTTTTTATTCCACTCGGAGAGCATCAGATTGGGAAATGCAACAATTTCTTTTAGCATCCCTTTATTTTTTGATGCTTAAATTAAACCAACTACATGTTGGATAAGGGTGATTAGTAAACATTATTAATTTTTGAGGATCATTGACTGTGTAATAAAAAATGAAGGTGGGGAGGTAGGATGAGATTCCTAAATTATCGGGAATCAAAAGCAAGGGGAAAAGTATGTGCATTTTTTGAAAAGGAAAAATAAAGATTGCAGAAAGGCAGGACACGGCTTCCTTTAGCCAGATCACCTAACCAGTTCTTGCTAGTGCTGCTAACTCTGTTTTCAGAATTGATTATCTGATTCCAGAAATCCCTATTGAATGTTAATTAATCATATCATCATCATCATCAGAGCCGTGGTGGCAGAATGGTTAGAATGCAGTATTGCAGGCTAATTCTGCTGATTGCCAATTGCCAACAATTTGGCAGTTCAGATCTCACCAGGTTTACTCATCTTTCCATCCTTCCGAGGTCAGTAAAATGAGGACCCAGATTGTTGAGGGCAATATGCTCTGTAAATCACTTACAGAGGACTGTAAAGCACTGTGAAGTGGTGTATAAGTCTGAGTGTTGTTGCTATTGCTATCATTTTTATAAATCTGCATGAGGAATGGATTAGCTGCTCCTTGAAGCTTCTGATTGTTTGTTGTCCATTTGCTTTCTTTTGCAGCTGTCCGGAATGATAGGAACAAGAAGAAAAAAGATGCTCCAAAGCAGGATTGTTCAGAGAGCTACATCATTACACCTGAGGTGGAGGATCTCATCGAGAAAGTGCGCAAGGCTCACCAGGAGACCTTCCCTGCCCTCTGCCAGTTGGGCAAATACACCACCGTGAGTGACAGGCAAAATAAGGGCCAAAGAAGCCTGGGTGGGAAAGCTCAGCAGGACAACTTTCCCCAAACTCCAGATGAATTGGCATCTTAACACCTGTCACTCAAGCCTTTGCAGCCCATTAGAGAAATTTGTAAAATAATAGATGATTCAGAATTAAAAGTCTTGAATGTTTTGAGGACTGATATAAGCAGGCCTCTGTTCTGTTAATAACATTTTATGCTACTGTTCAGACTAAATTGTCTATTTAGCTTTCTTGACTTTCGCCAGGCAATTTGGTTGTATAGAATCTACTAAAGATGGCATTCAGCGTACATCTTTTTTGAAAGTAAGAGCAGAGGTTGTCATTTCTCTTGGTAGAATTGGCTTAACTATTCCCATATAATTTATTTAATATGTAAGAATTAGTTATTTTATAGCCAGAAGAAGATTACAGGAAACGTTGGACAATTTTTGAGGGAGAATGGGCAGTTCAGAATTGATTACTCATGGAATAAAGCTGTTTATTCCATGAGTAGACAAAACATCTGGACCACCAGAAATGACCTGAGAAACATTTTTTTTTAAACTTCCAATTCAATAACTCATGCTAAGCCCTGATTTATTATAGGCATAGGTCATTGAACAAATTCAAGTCAATTTTTTAGATAAGAAGTATAATTGTGGCTTGTTTAGCCAATTCCTTGTCTGCTTTTTCTCCTTTTTAACCGTTTTTGTCCTACACTGGCATGGTTACAAAATAAACTCAGGAAACCATGTAAAGAAAGTATTGCCTTTCTCATGTCACACAAAGAGTTATAACCCAAAAGCTAATTTGTAGTATCAAATTCTGGATTCAAGCACGCGGGTTTACTGCTGTAAAACGAATGCAGCCATTCTTGTTTTGTCAAATGCAATGCCTTTTCTCTTCCCCTGTCTCCAATAGAACAACAGTTCAGATCAGAGGATATCTCTTGACATTGATTTGTGGGACAAATTCAGTGAATTGTCCACAAAGTGCATCATCAAGACAGTTGAATTTGCCAAGCAGTTGCCAGGCTTCACCACACTCACAATTGCTGATCAGATCACACTCCTCAAAGCGGCCTGCCTCGACATCTTGGTAAGTAGATGGGTCCTTTTCCTTTTCAAACAAAACTCAGCAATTAAAAAAAAATGAGGAAATATATACAATTATGGAGCAGTAGGAATTAATTAGCACTCAAGCCATACGTTAACAGGGTCAGCCCAAGGCTAAAGGATAATGTCACGGTTGGTACCTATCACCATTTCTTACATACATAACCATTATTTGGAGAACCAATTTGGCCTAGTGAGCAAAGCACCAGATTAGGAATCAGGACATTGAGTTATAGCCCACATTAGGCATGAAATCTGGCTGGGTAAGCTTTGGGCCAGTCAGTCTTCTCATAACCAATGGATCAATACTTGGTTGATAAAGAAAAAAGCAGACCCCCACAGTTGCAAGAAAACTCTAGGAAGAAACAAAAAGTGCTGTTCATCATACTTATGGTGATAAACTAGTTTAGGAGCTCAGGACAGGTGTTGGATCATACGTAACAGTGTCCAGCAGAACAGAGTGGCCAGGATGTTAAGAGGATAGTTTGAAAGGTAGCTGTTGTGTCTTCCCAGAGATCTGCCACATGAAACAGATGAGGTACTCTGTCTAACGATAGTACAAGTCCTGCAGCTGAATTTTGCAGTAATATATTACACCCTGAATGTGATCAATGTTACAGGTAGAACATAGAAATGATGGGGAACAAGTGTGCTGCATACCTCTAACATACTTTCCATCACAGATCCTTCGGATATGCACACGCTACACACCAGACCAGGACACCATGACCTTTTCTGATGGCCTGACCCTCAACCGCACTCAGATGCATAATGCAGGCTTTGGACCCCTCACAGACCTGGTCTTTGCCTTTGCCAACCAGCTGCTGCCACTTGAGATGGATGATGCTGAAACTGGACTCCTCAGCGCCATCTGCCTCATATGCGGAGGTGAGTGCCATTACTGGGCTAATAAATAATAAATAGGATCAAGATTAAGTTTTGGACATTTGCATATTTTCAGGGCTTGCCTATGGAATGCACAGAGGCATTGACCCTTACCTGCCAAAGGCAAGAGAGCAAGCTATCCATGCTGTGCACGTACGTATGCAGCCAGGTATCTTGATTTCAGATCGTTAAGAAAAATATATATTGCATAGCACTCTGATGACAAGTGCCATAATACCTGCTCGGGTATACTGTTTCTATGTGTGATGGCTCCCGAGTAAATAAGAAAACTCTATAAACTCCAACCACTGTCACAATTGGCCCAAAACTAATTGAACTTGTCATTGTCAGCTGCCTTGTGGCTCACTACATTATTTCTTATGAGAAAAGTTTGTTAGATACTGATCGTTGCTGGCACTCATCATGCCTCCCGGAGCCAATTAATGATGAGTACCAATGTAACTAGTTCTCATTGGTACTGAATGTTTGTGAGCTTTCACATTTCGAACTAAGGGCTTTCATTATTCCTGCATTATAAAATCTTTGCTACTTAAAAAACAAAACGAATTTTCAACCATATAAGCCTCTCACCTCAACATTCACAGATACACCTGCATTTCAAAGTGAGTTTTACCATCTCTTTGAAGTTTATTTTGATTAATTAATTAATTCAAGTTTGTAATTGTTTCTTTCAATGCAGACCTTCAATCAAAATAATGCATGGGAAAGGAAAATGACAGATTTTTAAAAAGAGTAATAAATAGCTAAATGTCAGACCAATATATACTGACCTTTTTAGAAAGAAAAAAAATCGATCAGCAAAATTAATAAAGACAAATAATAGTAGAAACAAAGCACTAAGAAGATAATAACAAAACAAATGACCAAAGTATGTATGTATGATTTATTATTTAAATTTATTGCGATCATCCAACTCCAATGTACTCTAGGGATAGAATTCATATTAGAACATAGGTAGAACATAGAATCATAGGGATGGAAGAAGGGACCTATGGTACAACCCTTTTCTTAAGGCAGGAGATCTTATATCACTCCAGTCAAATAGTTGGCTTATCTATTTTTGAAATCTCCAGTGATGGCACACCCACAAAAACAAAAAACATTGATTAATTGTTCTCACTGTCAGAAAATTTATCCTTACTTCTAACAGAATAACAGAGTTGGAAGTTCTTCTAGTCCAGTTCCCTGCTTAGGCAGGAAGCCGTATATCACTTTAGACAAGCGGTTGTCCAATCTTTTCTTAAAAACTTCCAGCGTTGGAGCAGCCGCAACTTCTGGAGTCAATTAGATCCACTGATTAACTGTTGTAACTGACATGAAATTTCTCCTTAATTTTAGGTTGTTTCTCTCCTCGATTAGTTTCTATCCATTGCTTCTTGTCCTCCCTTCAGGTGCTTTGGGGAATAAATTGATCCCCTTTTCTTTGTGGCATCTCCTTAGATATTGGAGCAATGCTATCATGTCACCCCCAATCCTTCTTTTCATTAAACAAGACACACTCTATTCCAGCAGCTTTTCTTTATGTTTTAGCCTCCAGTCCCCTAATCATCTGTGTTGGTCTTTCCTACACTCGTTCTAATCTCAACATCTTTTTTACATTGTTACGACCAAAACTGGATGCATTATTCCAAGTATTCCAGTATTACCAGGGCAATATAAAGTGGTATTGACACTTCAAATGATCTTGATTCTATGAACTACAGCACACTGCTGGCTCATTTTTAAGTGATTGTCTACTAGGACTCAATTGGACAATTGCTTACTATTACTTAATATTAATATTAGTCAAGTAACACCCAAAACACATTTCTCAATTTTAAAACCACTTTTTTCATTAGATCTTCCTGATCTTATAAATTCATATTTTTACCAACAGTTTTAGTTTTTGATTATTAATCTTAATCTTGACAGAATACCAAAAATCCTCTATATTTTTCATCAGTAACTGAATCCCTTTCCAAGGAACTTGTAAAATCAAAACCAAATCATCTCTAAATGCTCTCAGCTTAAACGTCTGTTTTGTTTTGGTTTTTTAGTTCTATTATAGAACAGAACAGAATAACAGAGTTGGAAGAGAGCTTGGAGGTCTTCTAGTCCAACCCTCTTCTTAGGCAGGAAACCCTATACCATTTCAGACAAATGGTTATCCAGTCTCTTCTTAAAAACTTCCAGTGTTAGAACATTTATAACTTCTGGAGGCAAGTTGTTCCACTGATTAATTGTTCTGTCAGGAAATTTCTTCTTAGTTTTAAGTTGCTTCTCTCCTTGATTAGTTTCTACCCATTGCTTGGGTGCTTTGGAGAATAGTTTGACTCCCTCTTCTTTGTGACAACTCCTGAGATATTAGAACACTGCTATCATGTCTCCCCATGTCCTTCTTTTCATCAAACCTTTCTTTTCATCAAACGATTATCTTCTTGCCTTATTTGATCTCTCTATTCAACACTTCAAGAACCAAAATAAACAACAAAGGGGACAAAAGACAATCTTGCCTCGTCCCCTTCTGGAGATCATATGGTTTAGTGAAATCACCTTTAACCATAATTGGAGCCTTCTGAGGCATATGTATCAACTTGAATCCTTGAATAAAGTTACCATCTAAGTTCATATCTTCCAGAATTTTAATTTAAAAAATGGCCAGTTCAAATTATTAACAGTTTTCTTTGCATCTAAGATTAATGTGGCTTGTTTTATGTCGTTTTGCAATATTCCAATATCCAATACAGTTCTTTTAATTGTCTTTTAGATTATAATCCAAATTGAATAAAGTGAATAAAATCTTTTTAAACATTTTAAATCTGTAGGCTAAAATTGATGTGAATAGTTTATAATTATTCAATAAGGAAATTGGTCTATAATTCTTAGTATGTGTTAAGTCTTGTCCTTCAATATTGGTCTCTTTCCAGGATTCTGGAATTGCATCTCCCTGTAAAATAGATATCTTTCTCTTTTAAGGGTTTATTAACTCCAAACAACCACAATTTTCTCAGTGTATTGCTTTTTCAAGATCCATTTTTCCTTGTTTTGTGATTTCATCCTCATTCATTCTCTCTGAACACCATTTTTTTAATACTGTTCATTTTGCTTCTGTATTCAATCCAGCACTGATTAATTACCACACCCTTTTAAAATAACTAATTTCCATTGTATTCAATTTACTTTAATGTGTCTTCTGACAAATCCAACTCTTGCTTCCATGTAACAATGTGAGGAGAACCAGTCTGATATTGTCATGCACTGGAGCATAATTTGTAGCTGTCACCAGTCTATGGATTCCTGCTTTCCTGCACACCACTTTGCTTTTTCTGACATATATTTTAGTCCTTTTATTTATAAATTGCCTACAGCTTTACTTCTCTACATGTATTCATCAACTCCACAAGATTAATCAGCTCTGCTTCACAAGATCAAACCACATTCGGTCATATCTATTACAACCTTCTCCTTTATTATACAATCTATTTTTCTTTCATTCTTTTTATTTTTTAGTTTGTGGTATTTGCTACTCTTACATTCCAAGTCACGATTTCCATGTGACTTTCAATTATTAATCTTTATTACAACCATGGATTATTAACATGAGAAGGGTAGAATACAATAATAATTTTAAAAGTTAAAAAATATAATATATACTTGTTAGTCAAGGGGGATTTTGTATTATGTTAGATTTACTTAGCTATATATGAACTTTTATGTGGGGTTTTGTGTTTGCTTAGTGCTTTTAAACCTTTTTATAGATTTTTTAGAAATATTTTTGCTTTTATATTTTTTTAACTTTAAAAAAGAGGGACGCGGTGGCTCAGTGGCTAAGAAGTTCAGCTTGTCGATCAGAAAGGTCAGCAGTTCGGCCATTTGAATTCCTAGTGCTGTGTAACGGAGTGAGCTCCCATTACATATCCCAGCTTCTGCCAATCCAGCAGTTTGAAAGCATGTAAAAATGCAAGTAGAAAAATAGGAACCACCTTTGGTGGGAAGGTAACAGCGTTCTGTATACCTTTGGTGTTCAGTCATGCCGGTCATATGACCATAGAGACGTCTTCAGACAATGCTGGCTCTTTGGCTTTGAAACGGAGATGAGCACCATCCCCTAGAGTTGGGAATGACTAGCACATACGTGCGAGGGGAACCTTTACCTTAACTTTAAAAATCTTTTTTTTTATTTTTTAGCTTTTAAAATTATTGTTTATATTCCACTCTTGTTATACTAGCTTATGGCCATAATAAATATTTGATTGATTGATTAAAAATACGGTCATGATCAGATAACTCCATAGACCTTATGGCATTGATCAATTTCAGTTTTTACAAATTATTTTTCAGTAGAATAGTGGCTGAGTAGATTTGGTGGTACCTTTGCTACTTATTACATTATCTTATTATTGTCCTTACCATTATTAATGGTAAGGACAGTAATGATCAATTTTTGCAGATCTTGGTCAAGACTGGACTAGGGGATCCAGAGCCCAGTTTTATTCACAAGATGTTCACACTATTCCGTACATGCTAGGATCTTTAATCTAAAAATTTTCTTGCAAGCCAGTACACCATCCAAGAAGGTATATGCAGTGTCTTGGTATGCAGAGTAATACTAAAAGGCAATTCATGTGATTTATTTGCTTACTAAAGTCACAATTCTATGTTAGAGAGTAATACATACAGGTTTTATTTTTTTTACTAGTACTCATTGTATGTGGACATTTCTGGAAAGAAAAGAGGGAGGGAAGCCAAAAGAAAGTGTGCTGTGCCCTGATCAATAGCACCACCAGGTGGTTAGATCTAAAAAGAGATTTATAATGATAATTGGTAATTTTTAAAGCTTTTGATCAATGAGATAAGACGTGGGAAATGCCTGAATCCATTTATTCTAATTCCTTCAGATACTAATACTATTGACTGAAAAGATATAGATGAAACGTGTTCATAATACAGGGAGTCTTTGCTTAATGACAATTCATTCAGTTTTAATAAACTTACGACAAGTCCTCAAAATTCCAGCCATCGTAGAGTCTTCACAGTCATGTGATCATAGGTGTTTGGCAACTGATTTGCACATAGCAGCAGTTGCAGCATCCCATGGCAATATGATCACTATTTGAAATCTTCCCTGCTGGCTTTCCATAAAAGGAGTATCAGTGTTTGGGAAAGTTACAAGTAACTTTGGAAAATCCCCCCCCCCTCCCCTGCATGCATGCTACAGTACCTCATTTCCACAACTTGTTCATGGCTTGTGCTGGCCCTCCAAGAACTGTCCTTGCCTCCCCCATGCCCTTCCCCCCAGCTCTTTCCCTGGGATTTCCACCACTTCCTTTTTAGCAATTTACATGTTTTGGGTTTACGATAGCAGCCAAGATGATCAGGATTGTCATTGCTAAATGATGCACTCATGGAGAAATGCACTTTAAGATTCTATCACTTAGCCACAGCAATCCTGGTCTCAATTGCTGTTGTAACCCAGAACTCTCTGTTACTATGACAAAGCTTTCATTGAATGCTGCTAAACATTTGCTTTCATTATGAAGATAAAAACATAAATATCATGGGTTTGTTTTTCACTTATATCTGACCTTTGCTGGTGAACTTAGTGCTCCCTTCTCCCACCACCATAATAACCCTGCAAGGTAGGTAATGAAGATTGACTGGCTCAAAGTCACCCAGCCTGCTTCCATGCCTAAGGGAAATCTAGAACTCACAATCTCCCAGCACTTTAACCACTAGAGTAAATTCGTCTCATGCTCCGTTTTTGTTACGCATGACAGTGGCACACAAGTTTCTTTGATTATGCACAGGTAGCAGTCAGCCACACACACACCACCCCAATAAAGTACCTTCCAAAAGATTTTGCTAGCTGATGGATGATGGGAACTGAAGTCAAATCACATCTGGAGGATGCTAAGTTCAGAAACCCACAAAAGAAATGTTAAGTGATACATTTTAAGGCAAAGATTGTATTGGCACAGAGAAGATACGAAAAGTGAAATGTATTCTTTTTTTAATAAAAAGTTTATTTTTAATTTAAAACAAATACAACATCCTTCTTTACATGCTATAGAAAGTGTATCAGTTGGTTACAAAAAGACTTTCATGCATCTCTTCCACAGTCAACAAACATAATTCATATTAACTCAAGTATTTTAACTCAAATATTTGATTTAATTTTATTGCATTTATATGCCGCCCTATTCCCGGAGGGACTCAGGGCGGCTAACAAATCAAAGGGAAGGAATACAGACAAGGGGAAAAACAACAAACAAGCAACTACAAAAAGAATTTAAAAACAATCAACAGCCACATAGTTCGAGCGGGGATGGGAACTTGTCAACTCCAGGCCTGTCAGAACAGCCAGGTTTTAAGGGCTTTGCGGAAGGCCTGAAGGGTGGTGAGGGTCCGAATCTCCATGGGGAGCTCGTTCCAGAGGGCCAGAGCAACCACAGAGAAGGCCCTCCTCCGGGTGGTAGCCAATCGGCATTGGCCGGTAGATGGGATTCGGAGGAGGCCTACTCTGTGGGATCTAATAGGTCTGTTGGAGGTAATTGGCAGCAGGCGGTCTCTCAAGTACCCAGGTCCAATACCATGAAGGGCTTTATAAGTGACGACTAGCACCTTGAAGCGTGATCCGGAGACCAATGAGCAACCAGTGCAGCTCGTGGAGGATAGGTATAACATGGGTGTACTGGGGTGCACCCACAATCGCTCGCGCGGCTGCATTCTGGACAAGCTGAAGTCTCCAAATGCTCTTCAGGGGCTGTCCCATGTAGAGCGCATTGCAGTAGTCCAGTCTTGAGGTCACAAGGGCATGAGTGACTGTTGTGAGTGCCTCTCGGTTCAGGTAGGGACGCAACTGGTGCACCAGGCGAACCTGGGCAAATGTCCCCCTGGTCACAGCCGACAAATGGTGTTCTAAAGTCAGCTGTGAGTCCAGGAGGACTCCCAAATTGCGAACCCTGTCTGAGGGGCGTAGAATTTCACCCCCCAGCCTGAGAGATGGAATATCTGGCCAATTGTTGGGAGGAAAACACACAAGCCACTCGGTCTTGTCCGGATTGAGTGCAAGCTTGTTTACCCCTATCCAGACTCTAACAGCCTCCAGGCACTGACACATCACGTCAACCGCTTCACTGAGTTGGCACGGGGCGGATAGATACAACTGTGTATTGTCCGCATACTGGTGATATTTTATCCCGTGCCATCGAATGATCTCACCCAGCGGCTTCATGTAGATGTTAAACAGGAGGGGGGACAGGACCGAACCCTGCGGCACCCCACATTTAAGGGGCCTAGGGATCGATCTCTGCCCTCCAACCAACACCGACTGCGACCTGTCTGAGAGGTAGGAGGAGAACCACTGAAGGACGATGCCTCCCACCCCCACCTCACACAACCGTCGCAGAAGGATACCATGGTCGATGGTATCGAAGGCCGCTGAGAGGTCAAGGAGCACTAGGACGGAGGCATGACCCCCGTCCCTGGCTCTCCAGAGATCATCGGTCAGCACGACCAAAGCAGTTTCCGTGCTGTAGCCAGGCCTGAATCCAGACTGAAAGGAGTATAGATAATCGGTTTCATCCAAGGATCGCCGGAGCTGAGAGGCCACCACTTTCTCAACAACCTTCCCCACGAAGGGGAGGTTGGAGACTGGACGATAGTTATTTAGAATGGCTGGATCCAAAGATGGCTTCTTCAGGAGGGGGTCTCACCACCGCCGCCTTTAATGCAGGGGGAAAGAACCCCTCCCGAAGGGAGGCGGTAACTATCGCCTGGATCCAGCCCCGTGTCACCTCCCTGCTGTCATGTCACCATCATCATACCTCCATTTTCATTTGACTATAATTATTTAAGCGTCCTTCATCATAAAATATACCAAAATTTAATACATAACCACATACTGGCCTTTCAATTACTATTTCTAAAATCCTCCACTAACACTGAATCCTTATGTTCTATTCTAGCTAAACATCCATAATATTTAATAACAAAGTTTTGTAATCCTCCTTTCCAAATCACTGTTTAAAGCTTACATCCAGTTTCCTTATGTTATACCTATATTTATATATGTGAAGTGAAATGTATTCTATTCCCTTTTTAATTGCCTCATCTCTCCCTCCTCTCCAGACCGACAAGATCTTGAACAACCAGACCGAGTAGACCAATTGCAAGAACCTCTGCTGGAAGCCCTGAAAATCTATGTGAGAAAGAGGAGGCCTAGCAAACCCCATATGTTCCCCAAAATGCTGATGAAGATTACAGATCTACGGAGCATCAGTGCAAAAGGTAAGAGCAGAGTTTCAGACCCTCCAGTGGATAAAAAAGTTTTTCTTCTTTCTTAAATCTGTAGGGAGGAAGATTTTTAAAAAAATGAATTCACAACTAAAAACTGTCTTGAACATTATATTTGAACATTATATTTGAACATTATATTCGAACATTATATTCGAAACCAAAAGGTAATTCTAGGAATACAGTGAGCATTCTTCAATATATATACCACACTTTTGAAGGTTTTGAAAGTAAATTATATTGAGTATTGTTTGCACCCTTAGAGTATATTCTCTTGGCTTACTTAGGAAATGCTCAGGTTATGTTTTGTATTGGTAAATCAGCTGTCTTCCCTCCCACAGGTGCTGAAAGAGTGATAACTTTGAAAATGGAAATTCCTGGATCAATGCCACCCCTCATCCAGGAAATGCTGGAAAACTCTGAAGGCATGGATTCTTTGGGGGGCTCAACAGGAGCGCCTTCCCGTATCAGTAGCTTAGCTCCACCTCCAGGCAGCTGCAGCCCTAGCCTCTCGCCCAGCTCCAACAGAAGCAGTCCTGCCACACATTCACCGTGACCATGCTGGACCCCTGAGCTAGTTGCTTGATCCCCCGCCCCCCCTCTGCGCACATCGGTCTTTTGCTTCCTGGGTCTGCCTGGACACACGTCTCAGGAGGAGCAGAGGTGGGGTGAAGGCGTAGCAGTGGGACAGACTGTTGCTGCAGGCATTCTTCTCCTCCCTCTCTGTACCACATCAGTCCTGCTCAGACCCAAGAGGGAAGGCTTCTTATGTTCTCCTATACCAGCACACTATTTCTCACTTAGCTGTTCAAACAAAACAGGGTTCCGTTTTGTTTTGCAAGGAAGGGCCCTGCTCTCATGGAGGGAGGCACAGACTTTCTCTGAAGGCAGATCAACAAGTAGATCTGAAGGACGGCTGCTCAAAATTAGGAGCAAGATATTTTTTTTCAAAAAAAAAAACTAGTTACAGGGGAAAAAAAAAACTTCTCTGTGGCACGTATCCCCCGCCCCTACTCTCTTCTTCAGTCTTGTCATGCACACAGACATGCCTCCACAAAAGTGTTGCTTGCTTCTTGTTGCAGTGAAAATGAAGTAGTGGGGTTTTTTTTCCAGTTGAGTTTGCATTTCAGATATTTCGGGGAAAGGGTATAATGTTTTTTTTTAATTGCTCAAACCTTCTCTTCATCCTCAATTTGACTGTGCAATCTTACCTTTGTCTCTTTTCTTGCCGCCTCCTACTTGTTCACTCACATATGCCTAAAAATGTCACCAGCAATTTTTTTTAAAAAAAGAAACATTAGTTCTTCAGTTTCTTTTTTTAAAGTACAGTAAAACATGGAGGGAAGGATTCATTAAAGAATAACTATTATATATACAAATATCTATAAATATATATAAATACATTTGGAAAAAAAAACTTTGTACAAGTTTGGAATTTGAAGGGTTTCTAAAAAGAGGGTGGCAAGGAAAAGGCCAGCAAAACCAAACCAAACCATGGAGATTCATGTATGGGGTTGGTCGTACTTCTCATTATAGATTCAAAACTGTTACCTAGCCAAGTACTTGAATTTGGTAGCCACTCTTCTGCGAACACTATGCCAGGAATGACTGAGAAACTTGGCTTATTGGTAAGTAATCACGAGTTCATGCAAAGTTGCTAATGAATTCTGCTCAGCTTAAACAGCCAGAAATGCCCAGTGGCAAAGAAGTTATCACTGCATTCAAAACAATTCTTGGCTGAGCTCTTGTTTAAGAATACAGAGTCTGCAGAGCAAGGCATATTTAAAAAGAAAACCCACAAGCCACTGCTCTAATTTGCTTTGGTCCTATTTTCAGAGAGAGCTAACTGAAAGCAATAGGACAACATTCCTTGCTGCCAGAATTTCCTGGAGTGTGATTAAGTTTCAGTGTTTCCTGCAACTGTGGCTAGTATGAGTTAAAGATACTTAATTTTGGCTAGTCATGTACTTACTGGCTGCTTTTATTTGCAATATATCTTGTTTGGATCACGTGGGTACAAAACTAAAATCTCACCATTCTCTTTTTTTATTTCTATTTTGGCAAATGAAAAATTGAGAATTTAGGGGGTTCTGAACATTGTGATAAAAGTATTGTTTTGAGCAAAATGCTTTGTTTTCTAAAGGTGTGTGTCAGTGTGTGCGCGGGTGTGTGTGTGTGTGTGTCAAAAACACCTACGTTGTTACATGTTCTTACTAACAAAAAGCCAATTTCTCCCTCTCACTCAACTCCTGATTCTTATTATAAAATACTTTTGAAAGAGCAACTTTAATTTTGTAAGGCACAGAATTTTATCAGGGGGAACATATTACTTCTTTTCTTCAGTCCACTGACCTTTGTTCACTTTATTGGTTTTAGGTTGAATAATTTGTATCCTCTTTTGGAAGAGAAAGATTAAGGGCTGGACTCTAAAGAGTTAATGTTGGAAGCTTTGGGATGGGTGAAGGGTCTCTTTTCTATAATGATTCACATAAATATCACAAACTTGTTGTGTCTTGTGACCCAAAGGCTTGGGGAAAGATCGCTTTTCAAAGAGAATAAGGCAGATAGACAATCACTGTAGTCCTTGAACATAACAGGACTAGCTTTTGAGTTCCATCTATAACATGATACCACTAGACTTCATCCCTATTCCTATTTATCTGGAAATAAGGATTGTTTTCCATCTGCTCAATCCTACCTGTGTTTATGCAGAAGTAAATCAGAGAGGCTTCGTTTCAAGGCCGTGGAAATAGGAATGAGGCCCTTCAAACTCCCACCCCATTAGGTTCAAAACAACTGCCCTGGGTGGATTCCTGATTTATCTATAGACAACACACCATGCTTCAAAGATGTAGCCAGCTCCAAGTCCCTTTAGGGCAGGCTGAGGAGATTATCAGTACAGTTTATTCTAGGGGTTTTTTTTTCTTTGTGTTGAGATTTGATTGTCTTAGAATATGTGACATGACATTTAAACAGAATTGTGGAGGTTGGGAGTAGCAACAAGATTTTTATTCTCATAAAAGCCCCTCCTCCCTCAGGTTGCAAGGCATGTGCTTCACACTTCTCAGATATGTATATAAAGTTGTTATTTCATAACTTTAGATTCTCCCATAATTGTTAAATTGGGTGGGGATGGGCTTGTGAGATGTCTTATGCGTGTCCCTTAAAAGAAATGACTGCCTGGTGTAAATGAACTACCTTATTCTCAACCCTATTGCATTAAATGATCAACAATTTATAAGGGTTAAGCCAGCAGGGGTTAGCCATGGAAAATCAATGGACTTTTCCTTTGATAAGATAATATACTTTAAAATATTAGATACCAAGGAGTAACAATAAAGGAAACCTGTGTATGTTACAATTATATATTGAAATTTCAGAAATATTTGGCTGGTTGCCCTGGAAATAGAACTAGACTGATGATAAGGTGAATCCACACCTTCGTTCTTACATCAATGTGTAATAACCTTGCATACAGCAACGGATAGCATCTGTAAGGGCACTAAGGTGGAATTTCGATGGCACAGTGAGCTTTGTTTAGTTTAGAAAGCTTTTACTAAATGAATTACAACTACACAACTATATTGTCCCAAAGATGCTTTTTCAAGAGGCAACTGGACTTTCTGGTTTTTCTTTGAAAACGTGTTGCTTCTCATCCAAGAAGCTTCTTCAGCTAAAGATGAATGATGAGAAGCTAAATGTTTTCAACGAAAAAACAAAGTCCATTTGCCTCTTGAAAAAGCATCTTTGGGATAACCATGACCTGGATGACTGAGAGTCTCCATAGACATTTACCCAATTGTATGTTTTTGACAGCAAAGGCAGAAATACTCTGCATGACAACTCAATGCTGTCCAATCAAAGGGGAGAAACTTGCTCATATTTAACATATCATTAATATATGGATTAGTTGCAAAAACCAGATGAGTTTGTCAATATTGTTCCAGTCTGAGATTAATAAATAGGTTAACAAGTAAGTAATTACTATACTCTTTCCAAATCATCTGCCTGACCCATGTTAAGAAACCACAAAATATTGGACTAGAAAGGTTATAATTCATCAGAACAAGACAATTCTTACCAGATTCTCTCCTATTTAGAGTTGTGTGAAATCCTTTAGTTCATCTTGGAGCATGTTAATAGGAAACCAGCAGCTTTTAACATTGTCATTCTTCTGAGCATCTCTTCGATGAAGCGGAAATTGAAATGTAAGGAAGATGAAGAAGTTTAGGTTCATAAACCCCCTTCCCTAAAGCTGCTACCTTTCAGTTATGTTGGACTAAAATCTTCCAACATGGACATACTTCTAGCGTTTCAAAAACACTTGAGAGAAAAGTTAGTTTTTCTCATACTTTTGTTTTAGAGAATATGACATTTGAAAAAACATGGAAGGTAATCTTTTAAGTAGCAAAATGGACTGTTTGTGGTTGGGACAGCTAACTCCCAAGACACCTAATGAAGCAGGAGGGTGCTCTTGAATATTTTATAAAACTCCAGTAGGGGAGAAATGATTGTGCAGCAGCTTTATTCCAATACTCCACCAGAACTTTTTAAGAATGGTTCAGGCAGAAAATTCTGCAAGATAATTTTTTTTCTGATGTGAACAGAATAAAATGGAAGAAAAAATAACAACTATCCATTTTATAATTGCTATTAGTTTCCTGGGTGCCCCAAAATTGTGATTAGAAAAGTAAAATAGATATACCACTTCACATTATTTCGCACTCAGAAAATATACCAAATTTGTTTGATCATTGACATTTCTCAAATGATGATGATATGTTTGTTTTCTTCTGTTACATGCAGTGGCATTTTCTTCTTCTTCCATTGGTGTTCTCATAAAACCTTTTAAAGATTGGAAGTTGACAATCAGAATAGTGTTTTGTTGTACAGAGTCATGAAGAGCAATCCTAATATGGATCAGTTGTCAAGTGGGACAAGTCACCTCTTGTGCTTCTGTGCTTTTTCATTTGTTTGCTCATGGCTACCCCGAGGCAGACAGGTTTGATGGAGCAGGCCTATCAGGCTGCACCCCCTTAATGTATGAACAATCCCTTTTTGTTAGGATCTTGCTTATCATCTAATAATGTTGAATGGACTCAGAAGAATCACAGGGTTTAAAGTAATCTGGTCATATGATTGAAGTAGACGGAGTTGGAAATTTTGTCCCTTTCTATTTTCTTTTTGGTGGTGGGATTTATAAATGCATTTAGAGTTTTCTAAGGTTTTTCACCTCTTACCAGTTGTACAATATGATGGGGTGGGTATGCTTAGTGACCTAAGCGATATAGAAGCTACTCAACTTTGCTTTAATGATGCCAGTAGCTAGAACCAAGTCCAGGAAGAGATGGAGTTCAGCAAACCACCTGTTCAGCAGTAGACATGGAAAAGGTGCTAAGGGTATTTTATTATTTAATCAAGATGGAATATTTTCAGCTCTGGAAACAAAGTTCAGCTCTTCCTTTAAAAACTGCAATTCTTAGCACTGGAAAACATACGTTGTAAGAGTTGGTTAAAAAATGAAATAAGGTGTCAACACCTCTTTTAAGTGGAGGTGACAAATATGGAGCCTATCTGGGTATGTGGTGGGGAAGGGGAAAATAATTTCTACATTGTGCTGCAGTATGATAGTAAGTATAGCAAATACTTGTGTCAACAGATTTCATCTGATTTCAGTCTGTATAAGTCTGTATAAGTGCTTTTGGTTTGAACTGTTCTAAAGCCAAGCTTAGCTGAAATTCAGTTACACTGTACTGAAATCTTTGCTTCTGAAGGCTCAGAGGTACATTTGGTACACAATAGTGTAAAATGGCTATAGTTGCCACTCATTAATCAAGCTTCTTTGCCAAATGTTGTGAGAAGAAAAATTACCAAGTATGCAATATCTCATTTATGCACAATGCTCCTTCCCTCAATATAGGACCCACAGGTAAATAAGTTTAACATTGAGACTACAAATGTATCGGAATCCAGGATAGTGTGTATTAGTGTGTAAGCCTATTCCGCAAAAACCATTTTCTGCACCATCAATTTAAAAAATGGTACCTTGGTTGCTATTTCTGTTATTTCAAAATCTCATTGCCTTGGTCCAAACTGATCCCATTCTGTAGCATCCTTCCTCTCTCTGTGCAAAGGGAAAGATGGTGGGGTGGGGGAAACAACACACTGACAAATGCTGGTTTCCTGTTCAGAGTGAAATAGTCAATGGCACCCCTGCTGCTTCGCCAGGCTAGTGAGCTGTCAGGCCAGCATTTCCCTTCCAGGACCTGAAGCTTGGAGCTTTTCCAACTGAAAAGAACTTCAAAGTAGGTTCTTTTGCGCTGAATGTACATCATCTCTGTAGGCATAATGAAGACTAGCATGGGATTACTGTACACTAATGTGGAATTAATCCAAGAATGATGAGAACACCCCTTG